AGTAGAAAGCCTCACCCATTGCTCATCCGATTCATACGATCGCCATTTTTTTCAAGGAGCTGGGATTGTATAGAATCATCAATCCTCTGAGGCTGCAGAGTCAAACATATGGCCAACAAGTGATATAGCTGGTCGTTTGTCTTCCCAATCTTCAAGGTACTTGAATAGTAAATTGAAAAAACTACAATTGCTTCAAACACAATTACAGTGGAATTACACTAACCACATCATATTGAAAACTCTTTTTTTGTTGCTGATGCTGTTGCTGAAGATTGTGCAAGTTTTTAGTCCTCTGTATATACAACAAACAGTTGACAAAAATTTTAGTTGCTTCACCGTAATTCCGCATCATCATGTGTGAAAACCCAACGAAATAATGTAAAGTAACGAGACACGATGGCACTGTGTTATAAAGACCCTAAAATATTACAAAGTTACCTTATACTGTGAGGACGTGCTAGGATGTCAGCCCAGGTTATATGCATTACAATCATGCTTAGCCATGGTGCTAAAAGAACAAACTTTACTTTTGGATCTAATTCCAAGTTCTCAACGGTTTTTAGAGCCTGGTGATAATCGCCCAAAAGAACATGAGTACGCAGTAGACCTATCAGTGAGAAATACCCTAATTTAAAGTAAAGTGGCGAACGACCAAACTCGTTGGCAACGTCGTCAGGATTACCTAAACCAGTGTTGAGAATAGTCAAATTTGAAATTTTATATGGTTAAAAAATATACATAATTTAAATCTTAACGAGTCAGAAGTCGAACTTACTCCTAAGGAAACACACGACTATAAAATGTGTCGTAAAAAAGTCCTAAAAAAACTTAGAAATACGCACGTCCTTCACGTATAGCGCATAACTGCTCATCGATCTGTGATTTAGAAAGCAGAGAATACAGAATGTTGAGAACTGGATAAATATTCCATGCCTAAAATGCGTCGCAACTTGCATTACACATAATAAACCACACTTAAGTGTTGACACTTGCAGTGTACAGCATTAGCTGTAAGAGATCTCATTTCAGTAGAAAATTGCTATTTAAAGTTACAAGAAAACCTACAAAAAATGAGTTACATTGTCAGAAATACGAATACATAATTACCGTTTGATTTGCCTCAATCATAACTAAATCATCATACTCCTCTGGACTCCTTTTCCCAGGATTTGCTTTATAAAGGCAGAAGGCTTGAAACTGAAAAGTAAAGACAAATGTAAAAACGATAAAATGAAACATACAAAAAAAATTTTTTGAAGATAATAGCGAAAAAATTGTTAAAATACTAAGAAAACAGCAAAAGACAGGTAATAAACAAGGCCCAAGCAAGGTATTTGATTGTTGCAAACTTCAGTAATAGACAAAAAGAGGTGTAACACTAACCTGATATACAAACTCATCAATAATATCCCATAACCAAATATTAGGTAACTCTAAATTAACAGGGCTTTCCTCTGGAGTCAGAATCTCACAAAACAATTCCTAAATTACGATGCTGAAGCGGAGTAAACCATGGAAAAATTGTTTCAAACGTGGAGATACAGTACCTGATAATTTTGATATGATTCAAAACGATGAGCAATAGACGGTCCTCTCTGCGTCCTCGTATAAACATGACGAAAATACAACTCTTTATACAAGATCATGAACAATTTGTTGTCTACAAAAACAAAAAGAGTATAAAGAATTTGTATAAAGAATCGCACTATAGATAAAAACCAAGTAATGCAATGACTTGGGCAAGAAAAAGTTCACCCGATCCTACAATATTTTCGACAGTTTCTTCACTCGGCCATAATCGTTGCTGGAAGAATCGTTCAGTCAAATCAGGGAACCCATGCTCGTACAAGCTTCTAATTTCGCTAACATTTTTTTCATCGATCATTTTCTTGAAAAAAATTAAATACTGGACCACATCGTCTGGGACTGTTTCTTCACCAAAGCTGTCACCTAAACATTAAGGCCAATTGCAAATAAACAAACAGAGACAACTGAGATAAACTTCCGCATTATAACAAACAGTTGAAATCCAGTAGGAAATTCCAAACAAATTTTTTGCATAAAACCTCTTCTTTTGTAATCCCTTTCGTAAGCTAAATCCCGTTCTGGGTCACCAGTATGTCCACCGTCAAAAGAATCACCCCGAATCATTTTTGCAGATCCCTGAAACCTACTTCCATTGACTGCAGTAAATATATTTGTGAAGTAACGTGAAACTTAGCCTCGACAAAACACCAGTTTATTTTGTGACTTTTAGGCCACAAATTAAATTTTAACATTCACCACGAAGTTTTGACGCTTAAAACAGATACAAATTCTAGAATACTAATCAGTTGCGTAAAAACTGTGATTTAAAAAAAAAAATACGACGCGAAAAAATTGAATACTCCATTTACCGAAAAAGACCAAATCTAGAAGTCTTTCTTTCTACTTCGCATTCTAAAAAAACCTTTCCTGCATTTATTGTTTTCAACAGTAAACACTCATTCAAGATTATTCTCGATTACCTAATAAAGACCACACGAAATCTTGTACGAACGAAAAATTCTTTGATATATTTTGGTGTATATACCACCATACACCGCAACCGACTACTTGTCGAATTGGAAAATTTCCAACAATAAACTGAAGAAGGATATACGGCTGTAACTACAAAAAAAACCACAGTGTAAATGGTCGCGTTCATTTCTAATCGCATGCCAAAAATACTGGCGGGAAAATGAGCATGTCCTGGGAAAGGCTCCAGCAAATTTGGCGCAGTGCCACTGCTGTGTAAAGGGGTACCCCTACGTTAAGCCGGCAGACTCCGGAAAGGTATGCATAACTTTTGTATTACGCTTGTGAATGAGGTGTAACAAAGATCTTTTTATCAAAAATGTTTAACCCGTTTGTTTCCGGAATTCCATGCTTTTTGACCTCCATTCTGCTGAGATTTTAGCAGAAATGTAAGAACGTCTTTGTTTTCTACACATTAACTTATAACTTAATTGTTTCAGTAACTCAGTTAGTTGCGCGGAAACAGCTATCAGTTTTCTTATTGTAGGATTCCACGTAGTTAAGAATTATAGAAATGTGTTAAGAAATTTTAGGGTCTGAACCACTACGAGAAAGATACGCTGTCTTAAAGTGATAGTCGGAGAAAATTTCATCTACCATTAATTGAGAAAATATTTAAAAAATAGTAGTAGAAAAATAATTAATAGTGAAAAAAAAAGAAACAGCAAATGCAGGAGGGAAAGCAATACTTCCAGTGTTGGTTTTTTTTAAACATGTTTTCGGAAAGAAAATGGTTCTTTTTCAAGCAAGAACTCGAGACTACATTTGACATTTTTTGTCGGCGGTTGTCGAAGAGGACTACCGTATCCGTCCCCCATGCGCTGCATGCAAAAAATCAAAGGTAGTCTCGAGTTTTTGCTGGAAAAAGAACCATT